TTCACAAATCAAGGAACATATATAACAATCATTATCAAAGTGGTAGTATAAAATGGTAGATGATTAATAGAAGACATACCTTTTAGATTTCAGAACTTAAATCCGTAGCCCAGTAGCCGGAGAGGGAGAGCCAGAAAGGGAGAACCGGAGTGGGAGTAGCTGTCGGCCTGTCGCCGTCGCCGGAGAGGGAGAGTCTGGTCGGGAGAAGGAGTCTCTAAGCGCCGTCCGTGTCGTACTCGTATACTAGGGAAGGAAATTGTACAATGACAATGAGGAGGGAGGATGCGGGAACCGGGAAGGAATAGGATTAGGAAATTGAAATTGTGAATTAGTACTCATGGACTGGACTAGAGGAAGGAGAAATGCATTTACTTTTTTTATTTCACAGCCCAAAGCTCAAATTCATAAAAAACATATATATATAAGACGGGTACGGTACGGGAGGGGGCGGGGCGGGGAGTGCTATACCCGTCCCCGTCCCCATCCCCGGCTTGCGCCAAGCGGGATCCCCGTCCCCGTCCTCAGGACCCGATTTTTCGGGGAATCCCCGTCCCCGACCGGGACGGGTGGACTGGGTTACCCGACGGGTTGAGGTCCATTCCCATCCCTATATGAGATGATAGATAAATGTGTATGTTTGAAACAATATTTGTAGCAAAGATTGATAAATATTATGTGTCTAGTATTTAGAAAAAATATATACATGATAAGTATTTTATTTGTTTTAAACTATTTACATGAAGATGTTGAGTTCATTAAGGACAAATCGGCCTAAGTTGGGTTCTTTGCATATACCAATAACATTTATGTTGATTAATGAGTTAAATTCGAGGTGCATCTTTATAATGCAAATACACTGCTTATAAAAATCAAATATAACTTTAAAAACTCGTTCAAAAAATCTAACACCTTTAAATCATGACCTTCATTTGGTTATCCATTACAATTTATGCTTCATCGGATCCTATGTTGTGTATAAAACGTTTTGAGAATATACAAAGAATTTATGAATTGCAAAACTGTGCTTCTATGTAACATGGTTTCCATCCTAACCCGACCACAATCACCATTTACCAATTTCCAACCAGGGTATATTAACTGGTGTGAATCTGATAGCGCGAATAGAATAATGGCTCTTGGACTACTTCCCTTGCCCACTATTCATCCCTATCCTCATCAACAACCTGCTTACAGATGGCGCTTGGTTTTATCCTACGATGGCACTTGGTTTTATCCTACGATGGCACTCGATTTTCTGGTTTCTATCTCCATCTTCATCTTGATTATGTCTTTACTTTATGCCCTAAATCGAGATTATAGAACATTCCCTCAAGATAGGGMTTTTTGTACTTACTTTTAGGTTGGCAGTATCAGCCCWCAACGCCAACCATACAGTGCATTTTGGAACAAGCCTTAACTCGAGTTACAAAACTAGAGCGCAAGGATCTCTGTKTAGTTGGTGCAAGTAGGACGGACACAGGAGTCCATRCGCTAGGTCAGGTAATGGTATTCACACGTATAGCAACCAATCAATCATTGAGTTTAAATTTAAAACTTGATTTCAGGTGGCACACTTCGTTACACCTTTCAATTATCAAGGACTGCAGGATATGCACGTAGCACTCAATGGTCTTCTTCCTCCTGACATTCGAGTTACAGAAATCTGCCCTGCAATGCCCCAATTCCATGCTCGTTTTTCAATCACCGGAAAGATCTATCATTACAAGATCTATAATGATCCTGTTATGGACCCATTCCATCGTCTATATGCTTATCATAATCGTTCCAAGCTCAATAMTTGTGTCATGATGGAAGCCACTAAGCATTTTCTAGGGAAACATGATTTTTCAGCCTTTGCGAATGCACAGCGCAATGATCGCACAGCCAACCCAGTGAAGAATATATTCCGACTGGATATAACTGAAAAGGTAATTTTTTTTATTTCTTTATTTTTATTTTTTGGGTGTGCATTTGCAACAAACAAACCTTTTGGTGTTTTTCAGGGACCCATTTTGCAGATTGAAGTTGAAGGCTCTGGATTTCTAAATTAGACAAGTCAGAAACATGGTACACCAACATCATCTCCTCAAATGATTACTTGGATCGGATTGAGACATTTATTGGTTTCCACTTTTATAGGTTGCTTTATTGTTACAGATTGGGAGGGAAGCAATCCCATCGGAGATTGTTCCAAAAATTTTGGCAACATGTGATCGCAAGGAACTTGCAAAGGTCGCTCTTGTAGCTCCGCCTCATGGTCTTTGTCTGGTGGAAGTTAAGTATAATGAAGAACATCTCCAGCTTCCTGAGGGTGGGCCTGCAACTAGTTTCGGTAGGCATCATAGCATAAGCAAATGTAAGCTGCAATATTACTAGTTTAGGTTAGTCAGCAACATAAATGGCACTGGTTCTCGTCATCTGCTAAATGTCAGTTGTGTATTTAGAAGAGTTTATTTTGAAGCACCTGGTATTTTTATTTGGTTAGATCTTGCTACCATATCCCACTTATAGAATGGTATCAACTCCAGGGCAAGTTCATAAACCCTAAACCCCATGTCACAAGCTGATCAAAAGGGTCAATTCCCATTTCAGGAGCTTAACTTTATGACAAGGTTGAAACACACAGAATCCTAAAAATGGTTTTGAAATTAGCTTGTAACATCTAGCAACATTAAATAACTCCCATTCATGTCTTTTCCACCAATCAGTCATGTAAAGAAATCAATAATACTTCCATAATGAAAGGTCAAATAGCCCTTGATTCACCAATCTATCTTGTCATGTACTAGATGGTTGAAC